CTGCCGCCCCCGTCGCGCTCGGGGCGCGGCAGGCCTCGCGACGAGCTGGGCAGGAACGCTGAGAATGGCATCGCGCTCCCCATTAGCATCTCGCTCAACTAATTTATCGGCCATTTCTCGCCCCTCAAAGGTGAGTCTAGGCAGCTCAAGGCTGGAGACGCGGTGAAGGTTGATCTTGGATGGCACATCGATGGTTTCATTGCGCACGCAGGCCGCGCAGCAGTAGTCGACGCCGAAAAGTCGAACACAAGAGAGCAGACGTGATCATGGCTGCCTGGACCGCAGCGGAGGCTGCACTCCGGCTTGTGCAGGCGGGCAACGCCAACACCGCCGTCACCGACGCGTTCGGCAAGATCGCGGCGGAGTTCTAGTGTAAGCCCGTGCAGGGCGTGCTCTCATACCAGATGAAGAAGCACGTCGTCGATGTTAAGACACAGGCAGAGACCGACAAGGTTGACGAGTTCGAATTCGAGATGAACGAGGTCTACTGCATCGACGTCGTCACGTCCACCGGCGAGGGCTAGGGCAAGGAGGCCGAGCTGCGGAACACCGTGTTATTACAAGCGGGCCGTCGACGTGGCCCACGGCATGATGACGCAGAAGGCGCGTCAAGTCACCTCCGAGATGCACGTGCGCTTCCCATTGCTGCCTTTCTCGCTGCGCGCGTTCGAGGATGAGCAGGTCGCGTGCGTCGGCGTCTCGGAGGCCGGGCGCCACGAGCCCTTGGACGACTACCCCGTGCTGAAGGAGAAGGACGGTCAGTTCGTGGCTCAGTTCAAGTTCGCCCTTCTCCTGCTGCCGCGCGGCACGAAAAAGATCCTGGGGCTTGCCTTGGGGGATTTGGCAAAGAGCGTGGCCTCGCAGCGCTCGGTCCAGGACGTGGACCTGAAGCAGCTGCTGGCGTCCTCCGCGAACCCCAAGAAGAAAACGAAGAAGGCGGCCGGCGGCAAGGACGCGGAGGAGAAGGCGGGCGCCTGACTGGCCCGCGCGGGTGCTCACCCGTGCCGACTGTTTGGGCCTCGCGTTGGCACATTCGCCGTGCTACGGGCAGGAACTTTTGCTTATCGTGTCGATCAGCTGGCTCTGGCCTACCACGCTTCGTCACGACACGCTAAGCCGCTAAGCACGTCCCCATTTCCACGCGTCAACGTCCCGAGCTGCTCCCAGCCTCCCGCCCCGCGGAGCGGAGCGATACGCCATCAGCTCGCAGGGCATAGCTAGCGCGTCGCCGGGGCCGCCGCCGCGACACGTTCTTCCTGGAACGATTCTTGCGAACACGCCCATCACGGCCCATGGACGCCAAGCAAAAGTTCCCGACCGCATCCTCCCGGGCATCGCATGTCAGATCTTCTTGTGCGCTTTCGCGCGGGCACCTTCTCTGCACGCAGCCCGCGCTCTGCTCCAGTGCGTGCGCGCGCACATGAGTGCCCGCGATCCTCGCCCCAGCTTTCTTTGCCCACGGTCCCGGGGCGCGTGATGACGCCTTCTGGCGATGGAGGTGGCTTGTGGGGCCTCTTGCGTGGTCGAGGGGTGCGGCCTGCCATACGCCTCTGACGGGCGCCCCGCCGTGGAGAAGCCGCGGTCCCGCACGTGTGGCTCGAGCGCTCCGCTTAGCTGAGAGATGCAGCTCCTGATCCACCTCCACGCCCCTCTCCTCCGCCCGTGTCCTCCTCCCGTGCCGCCGCCTGTCGGCCGTTCTGGTTTCCGCGCATCTGCTCCTGCATGATACTGTTCCTTGGGCTGTTTCTGAAGAGTCAACCCAGCGCTAGCCTGCTGGCTAACCTTGATGCCAGCACCACTCTGGCAGAGCTCAGCTGACTGAGTCACCCGAGGTCCTCGGCCTACCGACCGACCTCCTGTCGACCCTCGAATGCGAGGTGTCCTACTGCGTTTCTTTTCCCACGCCTCTACTTGGCGGAGCGTCTGGCTTGCGCGCGCGAGGCGCGCTGCGTGCGGCCAGCGGGGAACTGACCCGTTCAAGTTGCGGCGCCCCCGTCCCTCCTCCCGCAGTCTGGGCGTTGAAGTAAGGAACGGCTCGGGCTCGGAAGGGGCGCCAGGCTGTTCCTTGCTTAGGTCCTTCAGTGGCTGCTTCTCCTGAGCGCCCCTCGTGCATCCAGGCGCTCCTGGGTTTAGAGAGGGACGCCTCGTTCCTAACTTACACGTCGCTCCTTCAGGCACGCAGCTTCGCTTGTGGCAGCAGCTCGACTGCATCTTCCCCCTCCTCATCGGCTATGCGGTGCCATCACAGCAGAACCAGAGCTGAGGGCTCTGGCCCCCCCGCGCAGGGCCCCAAGAGCCCCGCTCCCGGCGGTACCGCGCGCCCCTGAGATCTGACGTCGCGAAAAGGTCAAAGCATATTGCAGAATTGCGGCCAAAGCCCCGGACCTTATCTTTCTGCGCCACTGGTCGAGCCAGATCGATCCGTGAGGGTCAGCCGAGACGAGCCGCGCCAGCCCCTGGCCCGAAGCCCCGCCGAAACCTGACGGGCGTGCCCAGGCGTGCCCACAGGGAGTATCGGTCCGCCCGAGAAGGCGACCAGCCACAGCTGGGGAAGCTGTGTTCCCAGACCTCCGACGCATGGAAAAAAGAGAAGGGCGGAGGTCGTTCGTCAGGACCTCGGGGGCGCGCTCACCTCGCCTCGCCTCCTCGGCGTCGCATCCCGGGGCGCTCATGGCCGTGGCCAGGCGCGGGCCCGCGCTGGGCGGCGGCGGCCCCTTGCCGCCGTGCGCGGGCGCGGCCCGCGCGGTGCAGGCGCTGATGGGGCAACGTCAAGGGGTGACCCGCTCTGGGATGGGGGGGTGCATCGAGCCTGAATCGGCGATACATCGCTTGATCGGCAATAGGCCCCCGACAGCGACGCCGCACGTTCCTGGGCGGGGCGGGCTATCGTGCTTGTATTGTAGCGGCATCTTCGGGCGATTGGGGGCCCATGCGTGCCCCTGAGCCTATTCCCCCTTCACGTTGGTCTCCTGAGGTGCCCCTGCCACCGCGGAGCGGGCGCGGCTGGTGGGGGGGGGTCGCGATGCGGGACGGCCGCAGTCCCGGGTTGGACGAGATGGACGGGTCTCGGGGACGCACTGACCCGGGTCAGCACGAACCCGGGTCGTCCAGGGCCTTGCCGCGAAGCCCGGCTGGCCGCCTCGTGGCTCCCAAAGCCAGAACAGCGGAGGGCGGAATGGGCCCCACGTGGCTCCCAAACATTGGCCACGTGGCCCTACGTGGCTCCCAAACCTTGGCCAGCCAGAGCGGAATGGCTGACCCGTGCCAGCGCTGACCCGAGTTGGGGCTGACCCCCGTTGCGTGAGCCCCGAGGGTCAGAGGAGGGCGAGTTGAGACAACGGTAGTTGGCCTCCTCGTCGCAACGGCTGGACGCAGCTCAGGAAACTTGTGCGTTTTGGATTCCGGGAGGGGTCTGGGGACAGATTTTGAGCTGCCGTGGTCTCCACTCGCCCTTCTCCGAGGGGAGGGAGGTGGAGGGTCTCAACCAAGCAGTGGCGAAGCGTCCTAGCTCGCCTATAGGCCTACCAGAGAATGTTCTAATAACCTTTTGTGGTCTGCACGAAATGTTCTTAGAACATTTCTGGCTGGGACTGTCTTGTTCTAACACATCGGGCCTTTGTTCTAAGAACATTGTTTTTGTTGTGAGAACATTTTTGGGTTCTAAGAACATATCGTGGTAGGCTTCTAGGAATGCCGGAACGGTCGGTCCTTGTCCTTGATCAACTCAAGGTGGCCCAAAATGGCTCCAAGGCGGCCCAAGATTGCCCCAGCACGGCCCAAGAGGCCCCCGAGACGGCCCAAAGCCCTCAAGACGACCCAAGAAAGCTCCAAGAGGACTCGCAGGAGGACCACTGCCGCCGCCGATTGAGATGTGGGACGGCCGCAGTCGCGGGTGGGACGGGAGGTTTCGGGGGGATCGGGACCAGACCTCCCTCAGGGGGTTCCGAGTGCGATCAGGCGTTCTGCCTAGCGTGTCGCTCCGCCGGTCCTGGGCCACCACTCGTCGGCGCGACACGCTACGTCTCTATTCCCAAACGTCAACGTCCCGAGCTTGTCCCAGCCTCCCGCCCGCGGAGCGGAGCGACATGCTATCCGCTTGAAAGGCATAGCCTGTCGCCAGGGCCGCCGCCGCGACACGCTAAGCAAAAGTTTCCGAACGTAGATGGGCTCGGAGGATCGCGCTACATCGCCAATGCATCGGGGATGTGGCTCGATGTGGAGTCAGTCTTTTTCCACGCCGACAGCGCCGTTCCATCGCCGACGTCGCCGATGCATCGTCGATTCCGATACCGCTGCTCGTCCTTGAGCTCTCATCGCCACGGCTGGATTCTCCTCGAAATTTTGTTCAGAACGCACTCCAGGAGAGGTCAGTGGAATAGCGGTATTGGGAAAGGGAGGGGATTCCAGGCATCCAAGGTCTTGAGAAAATCAAGGCAGTAGTTTGGTAGATTTTCGACCTCCAGGGGCCCTCGCCGAGCCCTGGGATCTTCGAACAGCGGGTAGGGATGAAGAGCCAGCCATGATAAAAGGGTCGGGACTTCCCAGCGCCGCGCATGGAAAAAACTGGTCATCGAACGTGTGCGATTGGGATTCTCCCCAGCAGCTGCGCCTCGGGATGCTCTCCGGCGCGGCTGCGCCTCGCCAGAAGCGTTCTGGGGGTGCCCGGATCATCCCGAGCGGCCGTCGGAGGCCCGATTTACGATTCGAGAGCCAGACGACGAGGACCGCTCGGGTCGGACGAGGGTGGGCAGGGGGGAGTGGGAACGGGGGGGGGCTTAAAGCTGCTGCTGCGTGCAGCTGGTTTCGGCCCCTTCGCTGGACGTTTCCTTGATGAATTGGCGGCTCCGGGGTGCCGAGAGGCGCGGGGGCGCGGGGAAAGCCAGCTACGCGAGCTGATTCGCAGGCCACCCTCTTTGCGTAACCCCACCCCCTTTTCGTCTGACCCGAACATCTGCTGTCCGCCAGATGGGGCCGCGTCGGTGCTGGTCATCAGTCCTGGCCGCGAGGCCCCTCCGTCGGTGAGCCGCATCGCAAGGCCCTGCGGGGGAGGCGCCGCTGCGCAGGAGGCGGCCGGGCGCGGCATCGAGTGGTCGCGCGGCACGCTCGGGGCCGACGGGCTGCTGTACTGCGGTGCCTTCGATGGGCGCTCGGCACTCGCGGTGGACGCTTCGATGGGTGTGGCGCGTGCCATCACGAAGAAGAAACAAGGGAGTACACATAAACAATCGGAGTTCCGCGCGGATTTCTTGGATCGGCGCTGGGGGGCCAGGGAGGGTGGACCAGCGCCCACCTATGAAATCCGCGCGCACCAGCAGGTCCGACATGTTATGTTTATACATTTTGTTGCTCTTCTGCCATCGGCAGCAGCGGCGACGGGCTCTTGAGTGGCCCGCTGAACATCCTGGACGGAAGGGCCAAGTGGAGCGACCCGAGCGCTGCCGCGGACGGGCGGCTGTACGCAGCCCCCTTCGACTCGCAGTCGGTGCTGGTCATAGACCCCGCCTCGCAGTCCATCGATGCCTTCTGGGATCCCGAGCTGAACGTGCAGGGCGAGGCGAAGTGGGCGCGCGGCGTGCCAGCGGGCGACGGCTGCCTGTACTGCGCTCCGCTGTCAGCGCCCTCCGTGCTGGTCATCCGGCCAGAGCCGCGCTCCCTGGGGCTGCTGGGCGACCTAGGCTGCTCGCAGGGAAAATGGAACGAGGGCGTGCTCGGGGCCGACGGCGGGGTGTACTGCTCGCCAGACAGCGCGACCGAGGTCCTGGCCATTGACCCAGAGACCCAGCAGGTGACGACCTTCGGCAGCCTCCCCGAGGGCCGGCGCAAGTGGACCAAGGGCGTCCTGGCGCCGGATGGCTGCATCTATTGCGCCCCGCTGTGCGTGGGCTCCGTGCTGGTGATCGATCCTGCCGCCAGGTCTGCCTCCGTCGTGGACTCCGGCGCTCTGCCAGGGCGTTTCCTGTGGGCCCATGGCGTCCTGGGGCCCGACGGCCGCATCTACTGCGGCCCGCTGACGGCGCCCTCCGTGCTTGTGATCGACCCGCGCCTGAGGGGCGCGCAGGGCTTCCTGTCTGGCCTCGGCGACTTTGGCACCGACCGCTTCAAGTGGAACCATGGCGCGCTCGGCGCCGACGGGCGCCTGTACTTCCCGGCTGCGCGCAAGGGTGGGAGTGACAATGGGTGCGGGCCCATTCGGGGTCTCCCCATGGCACTGGCCTGCGCGCCTCGAGTTGACCTCCCCGCTGGCCCCTGAAGCCGCGCACCAAGTGCCACTCGTCCTCACTGTCAAGTTCTTTGTTGCCGAGCTAGTATTGGGCGACGTGCCGCATCAAAATGCGTCAAAATGCCATGGATGTGAAACGGATGATTTTGATTTTGGCGACGACGCCTTTGGTGAAAAATTGAGTGCCCTCGGTATGGAGATTTGGCCATGCGTTGGCAGAATGATCGCTCGCCAGCGGAAGCCTACTTCTCGCATTGTCTAAGTTGGTGGTGGCGTCGTACAGAACTGCCCCACTTAACACATTAAACGAAGCATAATGTAGTATGAGTATAGGGCCACACTTGCGTGCAGCCGGACCTCTCGCCAGCGATGCACAGGTCCGTGGGCCTGCTGGTGGTGGAGGCGGGGGGCTTCGGCTGGACGCCAGAACGCAGCCGCTACTTCCCGGCGCGCCTCGTGAGTGTGCTGCGGCTCCCGTGGCCCCTAAACGGTGTGGTGACCACACCGCCTGGTGGGTCAGGGGGGGTTCGGGGTCACCGCGATGTTTTGGGACTCTGGTCGTTTTCCTAGGACGTCACGGGCGACTGGGGCCTCCAGGTTCCCAGTGCGGTGGCGGACCGTGCGGTGAGGTCTTTGGAGATTTCGAGCTCACTGCGCGGTCTGTCACTACACGGTGTTGGGACCCCCAAGGCTCCTGGTGCTGCACTGGCAGCGCGGCCGGCGCGCGGGCGCCTGGGGGGAGCTGCCGAAATGGCTGCTGACGGGCAGCATATCTGGGATGCTGTCTGGCCCCCGCCGCCGGCCCCCCCCCTCGCCCTTTCTTTCGAGGGAGAAAACACGACATGATTATTCCGACGGTAGGACCCCGCATGAGAATCTCCCGAGTTAGTGTAGAAATACTGTAAACCTCGTCGTCGTTCTTGTGAGCCCCGAGGCTCTTTCCGGGCTCCTAATCGCCCTTCTCCCTTTCGTCTTGGCTGATTCCCTCTTCCCGCACCCTCCTCCTCGCTTTCGACGGGGGAAACACGAGGTAAGCATAAATTTTCGGAGCTCTGTACGGATTTTGGGGATCGGCGCTCGGCCCCGCCGATCGGACCTCTGACGGTTTATGTGTATTCCCCAAATGTTGCTTGCATTTCAGGGTTGCTCATTTCTTCTCTAAGGAAGTGGACCTGTTTGTCGCTCTTGCGGCTAAGCTGTCGCCGTCGCAAAATCGTCGCCGCCCGTCGTCTAGGCCTGTTTGGTGATCTGGCGGCTATGTTGCCGCCGTCGCCGCCCCGTCGCCGCCCCGCCCGTCGTCTAGGCCTGTGTGGCGGTTTTGCGGTTATGCTTCTGCCGTCGTAGCCCCGTCGCCGCCCTCTCGCCGCCACAGAGATTGCTCGACACACATTGCACCACATCGATTGCACAACACATATATATATATATATATATATATATATATATATATATATATATATATAGCGCACAATTTAACGCACGACATAGGTTACGTCGCATGAATATTTCACAACATATGTGTATATATATATATGGATTACATCACATAGGCCATTGCACCACACACATATTGCAACACATATATTGCACAACGTAGACACTGGACCGCATCGCACATGTTGTTCTACTTGGGTTGCATCATGTATATTGCATATTGCAGATTGCATCACGTAAATTGCTTCACGCACATTGCGTAACGTAAATTGCATCACATGGGTTGCACCACATATTTTGCACCACGTAGGTTGCTCGACATTGGTTGTACTACGTGGATTGCACCACGTAGTGTGTATCACAACGACAGCAAAACATAGATTGCACAACAGAGAGTGCACACCATATATTGCACCACGCAAGTTGCACAACCTAGAATTGCGCATCTGATTCTGCCCCATCGCCCATCCTATATATGATGTTTTACCATCCCAGCCGAGCCGGCATCTTCCCACCCAGCCATCATTTGCAATACTATGCGCATGCATTCGTTTATCCAAATTCATAAGTTCCCACGAATCGCTGGCAAAAGAAAATTTGACGAAGTGCACGCGCGCGTCGTCGCGCGCGCATTCCGGAACCCCCAAAAAACGTCAGATGTCGTAAAGATTTCAGAATCAAAACATGAGGATTCGCACCACGGATTTTCAAAACAATCTTGCACGCGCGGTTTTGCGAATTCTTAAGTAAACCGTATGTTTTCCAATATTTTCCGGAAATGCTACCGAACGGGTTTCGCGCGCGCATATCGAAATCGTTCGAACGCCCTTGCGCGTGTGCCTTTGCGAGTATCTTCTGCAAGAAATTGGACGAAGTGCGCGCGCTCGCGTCGTTGCGCGCGCATGCCGAAATCCGCCAACAGTTTTCGGTTTCGCAGCGATGTCAAAACTGAGTGTCAAAAAAAACATGCAAAACACATGGTTTCGCAACGTTCGTTTCAAAAAAGCGTGTCATCACGCTCCCGCGAATTTTTGAGAAACCATTTCTTTACAAAAAACGTGCCATTGAATTCTGCCAACCGGGCCTCTGGCGCCGAATGCCGACATCATCCGCGCGCCCCTGCGCGCGTGCTGGGAGGGGCGCGATCAGTGTCAAAGAATAACCTGCGGGCCATTCTCGCGCGTCGGCCGCGCGCGCATGTCGAACTCTTTCCAACGCCTTCATCCCCGACGCGAGGACGCCGCCGTCGTCGTCGGCGCGATCAGCACCGGCGCCCGCAATGGCCGCATTTTCGTCGCAATCAACATCGTCAACAGCATCGCAATTCTCATCGTCGCGTCTGCCGTTGTCGACGTTGCCATGATACCGCGCCCGCCCAAGCCGCCGACTCGCACGGAAGTGCCCGCGGGGGCGCGCCCGGCGGTCAGCGCCACCGCGGCCGCGCCTGTCGCGCCAAATTTGCTGGCAACTGCGCGCGCGTGCGTGGGCTGACGCGGCCGCAGAGATGGACCAGCCAACGTCGAGCGCTCATCGCAATCAGCGCCGCGTGGGTTTTGCAAACCAAGTGGCGGGTGGGTGGGTGGGATGATTCCGCGCTCAGCGGGGGCGGTCAAGCGCGGCGCAGGGTAATCAATTGCACCGCAGATGTTGCACCGCGTAGATTGCACCGCGCAGGTCGCACATCACAGGTCGCACATCATGGGTTGCAACGCATATTTTGCATCGCAAAGATAGCACAACACATGCTGCACGGCGTAGAATGCACCATGTTGGTTTCACCGCATATGCGCCATATATAGGCTGCGCAACATAGGTTGCGCGCCATCTATTCTATTTCTCGAGCAAAACATATTGGCATATACCCCCCCCCCCCCCCGCCCCGGGGTTAACGGTCCATCTCTTCGCATTGCAGTTGACATATGATTATGCCCCGTCGTCCATCCTAAACATGAGCTGCTCGTGCCATCAAGGGCAGGCTGGAGTTTGCGCTCCTTTCATCCTCTGCTGAAGATTTCGCGCGCGCTCGTTTATCCAAGCTTCTTATTTTTCAACAATTCGTTGCGACAGAACGACGAAGTACACGCGCGCGCGTCGTCGCGCGCGCATGCCGCAACCCTTCAAAGTTTGGGGGCGCGCGAGGAGTTCAAAACCGAGAACCAGGAACGCATGTAACATATTCCTGGCGTTGCATCGCGAATGGCACGCAAGTTTGCCCTCGAGCTCTGGCGAATGCTAAAGGAAACCGCATGTTCGTCAACATATTCATAACGTGCTTCCAGATTAGGCTCGCGCGCGCGCGTCGAAATCGCCAGAGCGCCCTTGCGCGCGTGCGGTCGCGAGAGCCTCTTGCAACAGGTGTGGCGAAGTGCACGCGCGCGTCATCTTTCGGTGTCGCAAGGATTCCAAACCGACGCCCCGAACACGCATGAAGAACACGAGGTTTTGTAATGGCAGTTTTCAAACAAATCTTGCGCTCGCGCTCTTGCGGATTCTTGAGAACGCCATCGCTTCTCCAAGATTTTCATCGCATTCCGCCACGTGGGCCCTCGGCGCCGCATGCTGAACTAGTTCGAGCGCCCTTGCGCGCGCGCTGGGGAAGGGGGGGGGGGGGGGCTCGATCCGCGTCAAACCACGCCGCGCGGACCGCTCGCGCGCGTCGGCCGCGCGCGCAGGTCGAACTCCGTCAAGCGCCTTCATCGCTGACGCGGGGACATCGTCATCATTGCCGGCGGGCGTGATCGACGCCGTTGCCGCAATTGGCCTTGCCGTCGTCATCGCCGCCATCGCTAGTTTCATCGCCGTGTCTACCGCTGTCGGCGTCGCCATGATAGCGCGCCCGCCCAGGTCACCGACTCGCACTGAAGTGCCGCTGGGAAGTGCCCGACGGTCAGCGCCGCCACAGCTGCGTCGGTCGCGCCAAACTAATTGGCCACTGCGCGCGCGGGTCGGCGCGCGGGTCAGCGCGGTCGCAGAGATGCACAGGCCAACGCCAAGCACTCGTCGCAATCGCCGCCGCATGGCTTTTGCAAACCAAGGTGCGGGTAGGTGAGTCGGATGCATGCGAATGCATGAAAAGTACCAATTCGTTTGCAGTAAATCAATTGCACCACATAGACTGCACAGCGCATCTTGCACCGCGCACACTGCGCGACATGCGTTGCCGCGCGTGGATTGGATCACAACTGTTTTCCTTCCTAAAACGCATTCAGATCTCCCCCCCCTCCCCCCCCCCCCCCCCCCCCCCCCCCCCCCCCCCACACACACCCCACCCCACACCCCACTTAACGGCGCGCCGCTTCGCATTTCAGATTGCATTTAATTCCGCCCCGTCGCCCATCCGAAAAACAATATCATGCCATCCCAGGTCGTCCTTGATCGCCCCCCCCCCCCCCCCTCATCCTGGACCACATTCCGCGCGCGCATTCGTTTGCGCAAATCATTATTTTTCAAGGATCCCTCGGATACGAATAACGAATCGCGCGCGCGTCGTCGCGGCCGCGCGCCCAAATTCTTCAACAACCTTGGGTTTCGTAAGGGTTTCAAAACCGAGCGCCCTAACACATCGTTCAAATTAACTGCTTCGCAACAGGAATTTTAATTATATGTAGATACAATTGTAAACAT